AAGCTAACTAATTTTGAAAACCTTCCGTTTTGAATATTCTGAGTATTTGCGATAGATCGTTACTTCATGGATCTCGAGATCACCTATGCGCTGGACTAATCAAGTAAAATTAGCAACAGGAAACGCAGTGTCAGACTGCGCAAGACAATCCACAAAAAAGGAGAGAATCTTGGCGGATGATCGTGAGGAAAGCAGTATCGGCCTTCAACATAAACACGGCCGCGCCAACGTGACTACGACCGCTCTGCCAAGAACGAAACGATAGAGAAGAGACATTATTACTCTATTCCTTGACGACAGACATAATCATTGTACATAGGAGTACCTAATACAATCAAAGTGTTACGAATACTATGTTTGTTGAACATTATATTCGGTTTTTCTGTGTTTCACCCATTTGTCGCGGTTTTTGTGGTCTATAGAAATGGCCATGTGGTTTTCACATAGAAGTACAAATACCGCAGTACAAATTAGGATACATTTTAGGCTACTATGACATTTAATTAGGTGGATACAGTTTAATTTCAATGTGCCAATGTTTTATACCGATAGTTGTATGAATAAGCACTGCATTTTTAGAGTACCTAATATGTATTTTGCTAGGTGGAGCATGGGTGTTTTCGTTTTGACGATACTCAAAAATCCCAAAACATGATATCAAATATCATAAGAGGGAAAGGCCAGTTTTTGAGGTTTGGGTTCCACATATAATTATTTTAATGCCATATAAATTAATTATATCCTATTAGGATCTAATGTCTCCCGTATATTAAAATTATGCTATTGTATTGTATAATTATAATATAAGCTCGATGATATAAGATCTAATTCTGTTTAACTTATGTGGTCAAAAAAAATATTTTGTCACTGTGTTATTTTCATGTTGCTCCTTTCTTTTAATTTTACTATCTATAATAACAGAAGACGTCTGAAAACCAATTACATTTGCAGCAATAAACTCAGATTGTACAAGTTGCATAGAGAAGAACAAAAATTTTAGCATTTTCATCTCCATCACTACAATTTATTTCGAACGACCACGCCAACTTCTGTTAAAAGCAATAAGAGCAATTTCATACAATTGCACTCCGTTTCATAAACTGTCCCTAATAATTCCACTGCGGGACCATTTCCACGGACCATAAATTCCTAATGATGGTTAGTTAGAGACGTGATTCGAATTAACCACTTTTTTCTTTTTTCTTTTGTAATTTACCTACTTATTAATTGCCTGAGTTCACTAAGTGAGATGAATGACTTGATATTTGTTAAGTGAGGTAAATTTAGACGGTATGCCGCGTTTTGCCTCGGTCAGTTGCGCCATATTGCATGAGTATATTCTAATAAATATATTACGGTAACAGTAAAGTACCTGCAAATGAATTCATGAATTGTCACCATTCATAGTCTTCGAATGTAATAGCGGAATAAAGGATACATATTAGACAAAAAACCAAGTAACAGCATTCTCCGACAAACCTTAATCTTTTAAACTTAGATTACAAATCCGCTTCCCAAGTCTGAAGATTATGGCAATGTCATTCATGTACCTACTTTTTCAAAATCACAGTGATTTTTAGAAAATATTGTCTCTGAAAGTCTCTAATAATTAAATTGTAGGAGATTTAACAATTCATTAACGACCTACGTCATTTAATGTCTGTTTTATCATAACGTATAACATTACGCTCTTTATCCCCAAAGGTCTAACCCTTTAACCCTGAGGTGCACATTATGGCATTTAATGCCATTGTACAATGTAACACCCACTTTTCACTATTTACGTTATGAGGCCTATGTAATATGGTATATATAAACAGGTACAATTTCAGAGACCGTGCTACTACTGAAACCCATAAATGCTTTGCTCGACCCGGGGATCGAACTAGAGACCCCTTGCCCAGCACTCGTACTTGCGATCACTCGGCTAATGAGGCTGTCATTTATGTACTTATTCAGAACTACGGTGATTTTTAGAAAATGTTCTATCTGACAATTCCCATGGACTTTCATTGTTAAGAAGATTTAACAAAGACTAAACGACCAATGTCATTTAATTTGTCTGTTTCATCAATTTCCTCTTAATAACCCTTGAAAAGGTCAAGCTATTTAATTCCCATTTACTCTGCCATTTTCATTTCAGTTGCGTATATGAATGTATTCATCAATGGAAAAGGTACCTATAAATACAGCATTAACAAGCCTCTGTACTGACTTAAAGCATTTGTTTCCTGTATATCGTTCATATTTTTATTACACACGAAAAACTTAAGGCCCTCTTGTTTTACCAATTTTAAATACTTTTGCAAAAATGTCAGATGTTTTCTGCCGAACAGCAAAACATTTTTCATCATTCAAAGCCTGTTCTTGTCCACTGTTGGACACAGGTCCATTGTAGAGACAATGGTACGCCACTGAGTTCGATCTTCAGCCCTATGCATCCAACCACTACCAGCCATTTTGCGGATATTGTCACTCCACCTAAATAGGTAGTACCCTACATTACGTTTGCCTAGACGCGGTCTCCACTCTAGAACACATTTTTGCCTAACAAAAACAACAATTAATAACTCAAACTAATTATATTAAGTATTAAGACCCATCGCTCAACGGGCAAATAATACCTATCAAGGATGTTTGTAAAAAGAGTCCTAATTAAAACTTATGTCTGTTCGTTTTAATAAAGTGTAAGCCTAGAGAAAGTGTAGTGAAAGTAATTCTAATTTATCGCGTCGCTGAGTGGAAGGAGAGAAAATATACCGGAGGCTATTCTTCGCCTTGTGCACGAACTAAGACAATATTGCAACATTGTATAAAGAAGTGACATAATATTGTTACGTAATATTACGTTAAAAAATTCTTGGAAAACTACCTATAAAATATTCAAGACGAATTTTTTTGTGCTATAATTTTTGTTTTATTTTCGATTGATGTTTAAACGTTTTTAATCGTGGTTTTTTAACTAACAAAGATTTAGACTTAGTAAACATTTGTTTGTATTTGATATTCAGGAGTTTCATAATATAAAATAATACGTAGGTATTATTCCAAAGAATAGTATGACATAAAGTAGAAAACTAGACATGTTTTTAAACAAAATACGAATTATGTAGAACAAAGCCAAAAATCGGTTAAAGAGGGCTTCAATTTCTATGCCAAAACATTATTCAGATAGCGACCCAAAGCTGCCAATATCTGAGAGGCTAAAAGGCCGCGGGTCAGAGGATTTTTGTACTTCTATTTGAGTAGCTCTCAAAGAGTTATACGATGTTCATTTAACTGTACTAGCGAAGTGTCATACAGGTACAAAGAGGTACTTATTTTGAAAGTTTCCTTATGTTTTCATTCATAGAAATGTACCTGGAAATCTAAATTAACATTTAGAGTTACTCGTCTCGTAGGTATTCAGTTTAAGATCTGTCCTCAAAAGAATTTTTACACCTTTCGTTTTTAATGACATTTTTATTTAAGTTTCAATTATTTTAGTTGCAAGTAAATATAAAAAGGATTTTACATCACATGAAGTTCGTTTCTGAATCACAAAAGTGATATTTTTCAAATTAATAATTTTATATTATGTAAGTAAAACGCAAATTCGAGCGTAATAAAATTTCAAGACGAACGAAAATATTACATTTTTAAAGTACATTATAACGTTGTTTTGACAGAGACCTCTTTGATAAAAAATTCAATATACAATGACAAAGAAATGTCCTGTCCGAGAAAACCTTTTTTTGTCAAAACTGAAGATGGAAACATTCGACATGATTCTTGAGACAGATACATAATTTGAATGCTCCAAAATAACTTTTGTAGAAACGTACCTACTGCCTCTGGCACTTGTCATTATTTCGTAAAATTATTTTGTCCAGACATTGTGTGCTTTGCAAGATAAGTTTACATTGTATTTATAATTTTGTTTTGACATTATTTTCCCTTGAGATTTACTAACTGTTGTTTAAGATGTATTGATAAAAGTCAACAGCTTGTCGTCTTCGCAAAATACCTACACAGAAAATATTTCCTAATTTAATTGAATACATAATACTAATGTGCTTTTTAAGGATCACAAAAACTAACTATAATGCGTTTAATATTGATTTTTTATAAAAAAAAAACATAACAATTATCAAACTCTTTCGTTCACATTTAATTGAGAATGACATCTTCATTCACTTTATGCAACGAGTCAACGTATTGGGGTTGATGAGATCAAATAATGTAAGAAGCATAACTTTTTATTTATTTTTCTTTGCAATTGGCGCACAGCCTAATATATCCCAAACAACACAATCTATTTTTTTGAGAGTTGGCGTATTATAATAATATATTATAGAAATGTATGGACAAGGTATTGAACCAGACTTAGGTTCAATCCTGTATGCTTCAGTTCACCTATTGGTTTTCGGGTAGGTCCAGAAATAGACTTCGCCCAATTTAGGACTTATCGTTTCGTAGGTCAGTATGGGTCTTATCGATTTTAGATTTCAAGTTCAAGGTTTAAGAAGTAACATTTTATATTGAATCTGGAACCGTTCAGAACTTTAAGAATAGAATCTTATTAGTAGTTTTAAATATTTATAATCATTTTACTTTATTAAAACAACAATTTTTAGAATCTTATTAGTAGTTTTAAATATTTATAATCATTTTACTTTATTTCAGTGGTATGATTTCAATGCATGAATTAGATGAAGATGTGGTGTTATTGTCTTAGAGCTTTTACAATAAATTACCTACTTATTTCGTTAGGGTAACAACAATGTTTTACTAATAAATATATTAGACTAAGATATAAAATAATATGACAACGCCAAAGTGCCAGACATAAATGTAATTCCTACAAAAACTGATTGATGTCTACACCTTTATATTAGCCATGTTAGCTAAATCCTAAAAAATAAAAAGTGTTCCTTTGGTACAATTCTAAACTCCAAATTATTACTTAGAATCTTGATGCCTAAACGAGAAACTTATATTACTTTTTTTTTTCTCAACAGGTATCATCAGATGTTTAGAGATGTTAAACCTGTCACCATCGAGTTATCGCAACGTTGATGCGAGCGAACGAACAGTGAACACCAAGAAAATATACTCGCGACGGCCGTGGTACGCACCGAAAATAGGACCACAAGAAATATTGAGGGCAGGTAAGACCACAGGGAAAACTAAAATAGGTCAAACGAAAATTTTCATTACTTTATAAGACAAGAAAAATGTGTGCATGGGTACTCTCCCAATTAATTGCCTGCACTGGCATTCAAAATTCAGAGAATATACGTATCTGCCGTAATTTAAAGCAACTTTTCATTTGACCTATTTTCAGAGGTTTTTGTTTTTTAAGTTTTTATATATGATTGCAAATAGGTTCTAACAGAAAACTTGAAATTGATCTCGAAAGTAAAAATAAAACCGTTCAATGCAAATAAACAATTTTATTTTGGAAAAGGGGTGTTTTCCAATTTAAGCCGAATGTAAGATAAATTTGTTCTGCAAAAGAAGCTAACTAAATCAGAACTACATTTGAAATCTATTTACGATGACAACAAGCGGTCAACCATCGAAAATGTTATAGGTATTTATCTATTTAATTTTGCATTTTTTACAAATGTCTGTTACCATCACAAATCCTCTGTAACATTGTCTACTGTATGGTGTACATGAAATGATAAATAAATAAATAAATAAGATCAGAAGAACCGTAAGATAATACAATTCTATATCATTACGGTATTTGAAGTATTGTATGTTTTAAACAAGTTGTACGCCATGGAGGAATCCATATAGGCTATGGCAGCAGACGGATTTGACCTCAACAGTTCTCTGGCGACATGCGGATATCAAACCTTTTATTAAAAATAATAGATAATATTTTTTCAGTCTATTTTAAAAAATAAACACTGATAAATCATTTAAAAATAGCGCCTACAGAATTTATTGTTGCAAACGACAAAACAGCAGTGGAGTACAAATACAAACACGATTAACTGCATTGACTTCATTGGTTGACTGCACAATTGGCGCGGTGGCTCGGCAACCGGCTGCCGCGCAACGTGTAGCGGGTTCGATTCCCGCACGGAACAATTCTTTGTGTGGTCCACAAATTGTTGTTTCGGGTCATATGTATGTGACATTTAATGTTTTTAAACAATCCACGACACAGGAGAAATAGAAACCATTTGATATCAAAATCACTCTTCACTTCGCATACGACCATGAAAATAAATGGTTAATGAAAAGTTTTGTTTGTTTTATGAAAACATGTTATCCGAAATTATAAGTAAGTAGGTACTGACAGTTTTACTTCGATACCTATGTACCGTAACTTAATATTTATTACCAGGTAACAGAAAACTAGAAATTCTTCAGCCAATTTTTCTTTCAGTCCTCTCAAAGCTGCTCATTTTTATAGTTTTTCAAGCCTGGATTCAAATCTAATTTCTGGGTCTTTGAATTTTAATCTCGCGCGGATAAAAAAGTGATCAAACTGAGAGAAAATTGATTTTATTAAAAAACTATGTTTCCTTTCCCGGAATGGGAAAATATGATTGGTTCCTAGAAATGTTTTCAAGATTTTTGTGAGTTGCCTTGTTAAAGTTTGTGGGAGTGCTTCGTTTCATTCTAGGAATACAAACCAAGTAATTTAAAGGTAAAAATATACAATAACATTTATATGCTAGCAGCTACTTTGTGTTTAAAAAAATAATCTTGGTGATGATAATGTGACCTTACCAAAGCCAAAAACATTGTTATGGGGTAAATTTCTCGTCGATTTTATCATTAATAACGTAATTAGGCATAAAAATATGTCAGAAAATCCATAACTGGTTAAATAAAAACCACATCAGGATGCGCTTACGGAATGTACCGAGCGTACGGTCGGACGTGTTCCGTGCGCACCTTAAAGAACCATCAGACCACCAAAGATTTGGCCCAGTAGGGCTGATGGCCGATCTGGAGTCGTGGAAGACTTAACGGCTTGCCGGGACTCTGGCTGAAGGAGCAAAAGTAGGAACGGGGTAGTTATTAGTCAGTAACAATCCCTCTCGCCTCACCTAAGGCGGGAGAAGTTATTGAATCATTTCCACCCTCAAAACAAAACCTCTTACAGAGAATAAGACTTCTTCTACCAATATCTAATAATAGGACCATATAATTATTACAACTCTATAAGCTTTCAGCGAACATTTCAGCTTACATTACGACAGTAGTATGAATAGAGATATTAGAGCAGTCAATTATGTAGGCACAATACGCACATATCAATTAGAGTCAGACGAGCGTTAGTACATAATATATACTATGTAGGTGTACCTATATGACCAATTACACCATTGATTGACGTACGACATGTTGTACTAGAGGAATGATTTATTTCTAGCTTTGTTCTACTTTCTGTTTGTGTTTTACTAACTTGAAGAAGTAAATTATACCGACTTTACATAATTTATGTTTTGAGTCCGGGTAATATGGGGTGAATCTTTAAGTTCTCATCAAGTTAAACTAGTTTCTAAAACTAAATAAAACGCCTAATTAAAAATAAGCATAAGAATATTTTTAACTATCTGACCCAGCAAACTTCGTACCACTAAAATTTTTTGAGCAAAGACCTAAATTAGCCAAATCGGTTCAGCCGTTTTAGCGTTTTAGCAAGACTAACGAACAGATTTTTTTTAAATAACTTTGCCCCACACTAGGATTTTCTCCTATGTCGTGGGTGCGTTTATAAACATACGCATGCCACCCAGACCCAGAACAACAATTTGTGGATCAAACAAAGAATTGCTCCGTGCTCCGTGCGGGAATCGAACCCGCGACACGTTGCGTGTCAGTCGGTTGCCCAGCCACCGTACCAACCGTGCCGTCAAAGCATTTTTCATTATATAAATGTCAAACGGCTTTAGTGAGCTTTTCCCTCAAATAATTTCGTTTGATATCCATAATGGAGGTAGTCCTAGAAACAATTAGATTATGTCATCATCGATCGATCATTAAGAATAAGAGTGTGTGTGCGATTAGGAATGCAAAAAGTTCAATTTACGACCCAAAAAACAAACTAAAACGGGGCAAACTAAATAAATCGTTTAAAAATAAAAAATCCTTCGTTTGATCTGAAGATGCAGATGAAACCAGAGACTTTTGAGTTTCGTATTCAGATTTAAAGCAACTGCTAATACTAGCCCAAAGTTGCAAATAAACTCGTTATTTTATGTGTGTGTTGCCATAGGTTAGGTACTACAGTAATTACTAACAAAATGAAGTGCGGACTCGAACATATGTAGATCGTTACATTGGTTCCACGCCTACTACATTATTACAAATGAAACTGAAATCGTTAAATAGGGCTGTTGGCTAGGCCTCGTTGGCCGAGTGGTTGCAAGTGCGACTGCCGGGCAAGGGGTCACGGGTTCGATTCCCGGGTCGGGCAAAGTATTATTGGGTTTTTAAAAAAAATCTCAGTAGTAGCACGGAGTCTGGAAATGTACTCTGTATATGGCAATAGCTTACCCCCTACTACATGGGACTCATAATATAAATAGTAAAAAGTGGGTGTTACTTCTGTGTGCACCTCTGCCTATCCCTTTGGGGATAAAATGTTGGGCGTGATGTTATTTTATGTTGACTACCATGTTGGTTTATGTACGCTTTTTTTCCATCGTTCAATAGAAAAATATATTAGTGATATCGGTAATAGGGTAGACGACTAATTTTTATTTTAATGTCCGTCTTGTAGATTATTTAAAAACATTAGACACGTATTTTTTATTTTCTTACGGAAACAAATAGTTTCGAATATATATTGATTTGAAATGTCGCGTGACGTCACTTCTCAGTACATTTTATACTAAGAAATGACGTTTTAGCCCCCACTCCTAAACATTGATTCGTTTTATCTAAGTATTGTTTTATTATACGACAAAATAAAAAAATACGTGTCTAATGTTTTTTAATTACCCAACTTACGGACTAATTATATTTTTAATTTTCATACCCTGTCATCATCATCATCATCAATCATCCCCATTCTTTTATAAACTATGCTTAAAAAAACCGACTTAAAAACCCCTCTTTTCTGACGTCGGTTAACCTGTCAAACACCGCGAGGACACCGGTGATCGCAACCTATTGTTCCTTAATTGTGTCTATAATGACGGTACTCAAGGGGTTAATATATTAAAAACTTCATCTCCTTAGTTTAATTAATACTTTTCTGAAAACCGCATCAAAATCAGTACAGCCAATTGCGAGCTAATCGCCCACAAACATGCATACACACTTACATACAGGTTAAAATGACAACCTTTTTTATTTTTTTAAAGTCGGTTAAATATGAATCAATATTAACCTACCTTTCACAAGATTAATCACATTGTGAAACCAAGTCAAACTGCATCAGAATATTGAAGTCAGATTTCAAATTATCCGAACGACCAAGTGTTCGCAGAACCAATAGCATATAGCGTCTCTGGTATACAGTCATACTTGTCACCAGTCTACCAGAACGCAATTATCAGACACCTAATAATAGGGTAGATGCCTAATTTTTATTTTAATGTCCGTCTGCTACATTATTTAAAACCATTAGACACGTATTTTTTATTTTCTTACGGAAACGAATAGTTTCGAAGATAATATATTGATTTGAAATATCGCATGACGTCACTTTTGATTACGATTTATACACTAAAATGACGTAGCTACCTCCCACTCCTAAACTTTGATTCGTTCCAAGTATTGTTTTCTTATACGACAGAAAAAAATACGTGTCTAATATTTTTTAATTACCTTTGATGTAATTTTCATACTCTGCCATCATCCCTATTGTAAACTTTCAAACCGACATTGTGAACGTGATAATTACGAATGTGACGTCACAAATTGGAAGAGAAGTTGGGATACTTTGCAATATTTCACGTACACCTACACTTTAATGGCTATGACGTCACAGTTTGTATCGCGTGTCCCTCTTGTATTACTTGACAGTTCCCCCTTTCCTCTAATTCAGATTGTTTATAATGTTACGTAGTTCGTACATGAGTTATGCTTCGATTTTGTATAGTATATAGTTTAGAATAATAATTATTGAGTTAATTTATCAGAGCAGTGCAGTCTACCTACATTCAATTGCTCATTTCTAGTCTTTCCGCGG